CGCCGCCGGGTCCATCTTGGAGGTCTCTTTGGACAAACGGGCTGCGCCAACAGAACCGGCGCCGCTTGCGTCGATCGAACCCGATTGGTTTGAGAAGCCGTTACATTCAAAGTCCCAACCTCCTCCTCTGATGGTGCGTTTCAGTGCTGCTTTTAACAGACTGAATACGTAAAAAAATAAAACTGCGGATTTTTTGTTGACATCTCACTGAACAAGTGTTTAGTCCCGGTCGCGCACATTATTTTATCTAACGTACCACGTGTGTGATTATATTTACTGGAGTAAACTTTGGAAGCAAATCTGACCAGTTTGTCCAACAATAAATTGACCCGGACGTGTTTTCTGTTTTACAGATACATCACCCGTCGTGACCGTTTCAGAGAAAATGTGTATGGCAAGCCGTTGGGGGTCATAAATCGGGCGTATATTTACGTGCAAATCCGAACGCGCGGTGGCGTTAAATAACGTGCGGTGGCGTTTTCTACCCTAACCCCAACCCACCGCGCGTTCGCGCGTAACGTTATTTACGTCACCGCGCGTTAAGATTTGCACGTAAATATACGCACCGCGCGTTAAGATTTGCATGTAAATATACACCCGATTTATGGCCCCAACGGCTTGCAATAAATGTGACGCAAAAACTCCTAAAACACGCCTCGATCGAGAAAACTGAAAACCAAAAACATTTGACATGACAGAGACTCTTTAAAAACGCATTTCACCGACGAGTCACGAGCCAGAGAGAAACGAGTCGTTGGGAGAAATACGAACCCAAACATCTATAAAGTCCATTTCTGGGCCAGAATGTCCCAAAAGGTAAAAACGTTTTTGGCTAAAATATAAAGTCAAACACTGTCTGAATGAAGATGGCGGCTCAGATCAGTTGGGGATAAAAAAAAAAAAAAAGATAAAAACATGCAGAAGAAGAATAAAGCCAGTGATGGGCACAGCTAACCAGTTAGCTTCACTAACCTCTAATCCGCTAAACGTAGAAAAATTCAAGGAAGCTAATGCTAACTTCTTAGCGGTTAGCTTCCGTTAACTGATGCAAACATGTTGTTTGGTTCTATTGATTTAATTTGAAGGTGGGCGGGATTATTGTGGCAAATCAGCCAATCCAAACCAGTTATAGCTCTAAGTTGTGATACTTATTACACCTTTCAGAATAAAAGTATGTCTTTAATTGAGTTTGTATTTCTATAAATACCGTTTGAAGGTAGTCAAACAAATACTTTCTTTACCATATTCAGTTGTTGTATTTAAATATTGTTAAATATTTGATTTATTTTTGACGCTCGTATTATAAAGTTTAACTGCTAAAGATGGTACATGCTAACATACGTGCCCGACACATCCAGCACTGCTTGTAAGAGCGGATAGCTTTTATTTAATTAAAATTGTCGTGGATGTTTTAGCGGACTTAAAATTAGAGGAACTCAGTTCTTATATTTGAATATTGTAAAAAATTTGATTTCTTTTTGACACTCCTACATTTTAACTGCTAAAGATGCTACATGCTAACACACACGGTGCCTGACATGTCCAGCACTGCTTGTAAGACCAGATAGCTTTTATTTAACTAGTTAATAAGCGGCATAAAAATAGAAGTTTTACTGTTGAGGATATTTTAGCAGACTTAAAATTAGAGGAACAAAATTTAACGGAAGCTAATCGATCCATTAGCAGTTTCCAAATTTAGCCTCAAGAAAAAAGAAGAAGCTAATATGCTAAATGAGAAGCTAGTTCCACTATAAGTGGATTCGCAGAACTGTGCCCACCACTGCATAAAACAATTAAAAAATGCTGCGACATTGATTTTGTGGACAAAATCAGCTGAAAAGTGAATCGGCTGAAGAAGTACAATCAGGCGTTCACAGCTGCTAAGGACCTCCAACATGGCCGCCGCCACCCGAAAGGCCTCAGCATACAGGAGACGCGAACCGAGAGGGGTCTCGATGAAGGCTTTCCCCGCGACGTGGTGGGAGATTCCAGCTCGTCCCTCGGCAGAGACCTGAACCCCCCCAACAGACCCCCGCCACACAAGCTAAAATTAACAAACGAATAAACATAAATAAAACGGGAGAAAAATCACCTCCAAACAAACTAAAGCGGCTCTTAAGCAAAAACAAAAGGAGGATAAAGAAAGGAAGAAAAAGTAAACATTCACCATCATGTGCAGCCATGCACGTGGGCTAAAACATGCACGTACACACACACACACACACACAGACACACACACAGTCAGAGGTACAGTGAACAAAAGTGCTTCAAGTTTGGGAAGTAAAAGAACTAACCCAGTAGAAATATGTATAAAACCTTAAATATGTAACTTTATGTACAAAAACACGGGCCAACGTCTCAGCTGTATTTAAATCTTCAAGTAGGTTTCATTGCTATTTAATAAGGGTTTGCATTGTTTTTGTTTTTCAGAATAAAAGGTCGTGTGATCTGACTGACCTTGCCGGCAAAGTAATCAATCACTGCTGATTTTTAAAAGCCCCCCCCCCCACGACACAAACACCCACCACGACTCGCCACCAATCTTTAGACCCACAATGCAACAGAAGTCCAGTTCTTTAGAAGTCAACTGCTGAGAGTTACAACCTGAACTCTGGTCAAGTTGGAGTATTGTGAGATAAAAAAATTAAAAACTAACTGCAGTGATTTACTGAGTTAAACATGGTAAAAATAATGAAACCAGGAAACTGAACCAAATCAGGTCATTTTAAATTTAATGGCAGCAACACGTCTCACAGTTCTGAATAAGAATGAGCTGGAGGAACATTTTCTAATTAAATTAATTATCAGCAATGCAGTTGATTTCAGATTCATGTTCTTAAAACATGTACAGCTCGATTTATCGTATAGTCATTTAAATAAATCGATATATCGTATCGTCATCCAAACAAATCGATATATCGTATAGTCATTTAAACAAATCGATACATTGTATCTCATCATTTAAACAAATCGATATACCGTATAGTAATTTAAACAAATCGATATATTGTATCGTCATCCAAACAAATCGATACATTGTATCTCATCATTTAAACAAATCGATATAC